GTTCATTAGCGTAGTCCAGACCTCATATGCTAATATTACAAACATGTTGTTCTCAACAATTAGAGCATTTCTTTTGAAGAAACTATGGACAGAGAGAGAGTTTCGCAAACTTTTAAAATTCATTAGTCTGTCAGTATTGACAAACAAGTGCAGATTTGAGAAATAGTGTATATCGAGGAGACTAGATTGAAGCAAGGCAATAGTAACGACGGTTTTTTCTCTTCTTCTTCCAAGACGAAATAGCACTATTGAGAGTGCGTTAGACAAGAATGAAATTGTCTTTCAATATTATGTTTCAATGTTACTACTTGAAATGTTTTTGCTTTTTACCACCATATATGTTGATGCGAATAATGAAAGTAATATGGAACAGAAGAAGTGAGCAGAAATGAACAGGAATGAAATGAAAGATGAAGAAGAATAGAGAGAGAAAGAGAGGGAGACAGACAAAACTTTCTATTCTCTTCTTTCATATTCATTCTACAAAAAGAGAATATTTTGATGAAAAAATGAAGATGTTAAAGACAATGGTATTGAAAAGATGAGACGTCGAACAAAAAATATTTTAAAAGTTCGAAAAATATCTTGAAAAAGTTTTGCAAGCCAATTGCAAACAATTAAAAGTACATGAGAGAGGATAAGAGTGTACGACCCCATTCGGCTAATGACCTCCTTTGGTAGATTGACATTACAATGCTCTTCTTCACTTTACACATTCTTATCTTGGTTTCATTCAACTGATTGACTAGATCAGTTGGAACTTTAACACATTTTCATAATGCAATCAGCATTTGCGCACATGAATAGCGAATTAGCCTCATCAGATGTCAGGATTAAATTGTTAAAAGAGAGAAAAGATGATATAAAGAAAAAAAAGGAAAGAAAGGAAAGGTATAATAGAGAGAGAGAGAAGGAAAGAGAGAGAGAGAAAGATTAGAATTAAGAGAGAAAAAGAGTTATCCTACCTATTTATGTAGATGTATATATAGAAATGAAATATCTATATATAATTTTGTATGATTAAAAAAGAAAAGAAAAGGGTATCTATGACAACAACAGATATGAAGAAAGAGAGAAGAAAAAAAAAGAAAAAGAGAAAGAGAGTCAATTTCAATTGCAGTACTCTCTATCATGTGTGTTTATTGTGGAAGTGATTGTTGTACCGCTTTTGCTATATTTTAATTTTTTTTTCATCTGCTAGACCCCCCTTCATCTTTACTCTCTCTTTCTGTTCACCTTGTGATCACGTTCTTTCCCTATCTCTCTTTCTCTCTCTCAATCTTCCCTTTTCTCATTTTTTTTTCTTTCAGCGCCCCCCTCCCATTGAGATAAATGAATGTTTATTAGTATTGATATTGATATCTATCATTCATATGATGCAACTTCCTGATTGAACTTTTTAGCGCATTTGTAGAGATGACCAAATTCAATTCACGTGATTTGTTTGTTGCAGTGGGTATCTTGTTCGGGCTTCTATTCGGTAATTATCCTATTTGAGAAACAGAAAGAGAGAGAGAAAGAAAGGTAGAGAGATAGAGAGAGTCTCACAAAGACAAAATTAAGCACCGGTTTCCAAGAAATTTTCAAAACTGCAGTATAATATCTTAGTAACCTGTGACAGATGATTGGAAAATAAGAAAAAAAAAGAAATTTTTTTGGAACAAAATCTTCAAGAATGAAATGAAAAGGAATGAAAAGCAAAATGAAATTCAGTTACATAGTCTCTTTCCCTCTCAGTTGTGTTGTCTTGTACTCTTCTTCTTCTTCTTCATCTTCATTTTTCCTGAAATCCTCTTCTCCAAGTCTATCTATGACATAGTTTTTAGTCATCGATCCTGATTTTTGCTCATTGATTCACAAATAGTTTTGGAAAATCCAGACTTCATTTGAGAGTATGAAAGAGTAATTTTGATGGAATAGAGAGAGAGAGAGAGAGAGTGAGAGAGAGAGCGAGAGAAAGAGAAAATATACCATTTTGGAAATATCCGAAAGGACAAAGAATCATTGACATACAATTCAGCTATTCAACAAATGATAATGACAAAAGGCAGTAGTTTGTATAAAATGTATATGTATGATGTTTGAAGGTGAGATTATCAAACACATTCATATCTGTCAATAATAGAAAAGATATTGTATAGAGGATGCTCTCTCTCTCTCTTCTTCTGAATAAGGTTCAAATGATCTATCCTCTTCCAAATATGATATTCAATGAACTTTCTAATAATAAAGAATGAAAAGAAAAGAAAAAAAATGATGAAAATTGCCTTTATTGTAGTCAGTTTTCCATATAAATATTCAGAAAATAAAAAAGAAATTTTCATTGGATAACAGAGACAACTGTGTATGCCAGATATCTGTCACTAAACATCATATATAATGGAGGAAAAATTCAATTTCTTCATATATTTAATCTTTTCATTTTTTAATATTTTCAATCATTGTATCATGTTTCTTACAAATATAATTTGATTGTGATGTAGGAGATTGTTGCATGCTCTAACCCACCTTCTACCTCTTCTCCTTTCCTACTCTTTAACTTTCCTTATGTAGTCGATGTGTCGCAAACTTCTAACATATTAAGGTATGGGCTGCGTATTTTCCTGCATCCGCGATTTTTTGACTCCGAAACCGGATGTTCGTATAAATGGTTAGATTATTATATATTTATGTAATTCATATATTAATGAATGCTTTTAGTCATTGAACCTACTTCCATATGCGTACCGGAACAGATCGGAGTAACATCGCCATCCATTCCTGTCCAAAATGACAGTAAATGGACTTTACAAGTGAGTTTTTAATACATTAACGTATAAAAGCTTTTTTTATTATTAATCTTATGCAGGTACCAAAAGCCGGAAGATGAATTGTGATGAGTATATAGGCATGCTTCATCGTTATTGTATAATACTACGGTTAAATTCGCAAAGGTCTCTCTTATTGAATGTCTTTTTATTTCGCTTTTGATCTCCATCAGACACAATTCTCTTGATCGTTCTTCTTCTTCTTCTTCTTCTTCTTCTTCTTCATCATCATCCTTCTTCTTATAACGTCAATTGAAATAAACATTTGTTCTAGTATTTCCTATACTACTATACGATAAGATGTATCATTCATTGTATGAACAAAAGAGAATCATGTCGCTAAATGACAGACTTCATTCTGCAAAGTACAGATAAGTCGAAATACCTAAGACCCCAATCGTATTATTGATAGAAAGGGATCTGTGTTGGACTTTCTTTTTATTTCTTATTTCTTCATAGATTTTCTCTCAAATTCATCCGTCATTCAATGATATGCAACACAACATATCAACGTGAATAATCATCCAACCCAAAAGTATGATAAATGCCTTTTCAATCGTATTAAGAAGAACGAAACACGCTTCAACTGTTTTTTCAGCAAAACCCCCCAACTGTCTTACGCCCAGATCTTAACGCACACACACATCTTTCGCACTACCGTGTTTTGTTCACAGACAATGGTTGTCTCTTCAATTTTTATGAGTCTTCTCGTTGTTGTTCTCTGATTTATCACACACACACACACACACACACACATACACATACATACACACGCACATACACACTCATACACACACTTATTGTAATATATTAATATCATTTTGCAGGCATGAAAGTTATATTGTTGATTCTGTTCTGTTCCATTGTTGACTCTCAACTTCTGAGAGACAATTGCTCAAATTTTGATGATTCAAACTGGGAAAACACGCTGAAATTGGTTCATGAGAAAGGACAAGAGGTTGAAACTGATGAACCTAAACTGCTTCGCAAGTATCCCTTCATCCGAGACATTCCCAAGTTCTTAAGAAGTCCATTCATTTCATTTTCATACCTTCATACTAATGATTTGTTCAGGCAAATCATGCTGGAGTAAGATCAACAGCACTAAATTGATTGAATTCAAAGAGAAGCAGTCAAAGATTATGGTTTGTTATTGTGTCAGACTGCGCATGTGTGATAGATCAAACACTCATTTAAGGAAGATGATGTTTTCAAAAACTATTTCACTGACACTGAACGCAAAATTTATGATAATTACTATTCTCACGAGACGAAACAGATAAGACGAGGATTGCCTGTTCTGACTTGTGTGGTAAGAAGAAGAACAATAGAATGAGATTGTTATGACCTTTTGAAGCGTTACGAAAGGTCAGAAAATCTAAAGAAAGAACGAGATACTGTCTATTCATCAAGAGCTCCGCTGACGTTTCCAATTTGTTTTTTGACCTTCACAATCAATGTAAGCTGATGGCAATTCAATGAGAAATAGAAAAAAAGAAATGCTGTGTTTTAACTAAACTCATTATAGACCAAAACGCATGATTTGAAGATAATTGATGGTGCTGGAGCTTCTGCTCCATTGCAAAGAGTTGCTGATTGCACAAAAGCTGATTCAGTTAGTTATATCTTATATCATATAGTTATAACTATATTTGATTAAGTGTGTGATAATGATGGATAATGCTACTATCCATAAGGAGGAGGAAGTTGAAATGACTTGTTGCTGTACAACTCATTCATGTAACTCACGTCCAATCATCCTGGGTTCGTATATACATATGATATGATAATTGATAACAAAAATGAATAACAAAGCATATATATATCTATATATCAAGACAAATTATATATTTGTATAGATCCAATAGTGATTCCGAAGAAGAAGAAGACTACAACTGGCGATCCTACGAGCACAACAGTACAAAGTTGATAAGATTATCCGATCTATAGTAAAAGATAATGTACTTTATAGACTCTTATCTGAGAGATACTTCTGAAACTCAATGGTACCAATTCAGTTCAATTGTTACTTTCTTCCAACGAGTAAATGCCGAATTCTTCATAATCATTGCCTTGATATCAGTAATTGTATATCAAAATGCTTTTCTGATCAAGAAAAAGTGTGAGGTAGATGGCCAGAAATCATGTTTTTAAAACATAAACAAATGATCTTTTTTCTTCAGAAAACACCAAATGTGGAGGAGTATTCGATTGTACCTGTCAACCAGTGAATTACAAGCTTTGAACAAGAAGTTAATCTTTATGTTTTAATAACAAAAGAAACTTCATTTTGAGAATAAATTCTGATGAACATGTGTTATACTAACTCTCTTTCTCTCCCTCTCTCCATCTCTTTCTCTTCTTTACCCTCTTTCTCTCTGTTTGCATCTATGGAATAATCTCTCAATCATAACTTCTCATCAGTTTTCATATAACCCTAACAAAGAGTTTGAATGCAAAGTATGAAAGACAATCGATTGTATAATATGAATGACTGTAACAGAACTTTCTTTGTTTTTCTAACACTCAAGTCTTTTTTGCTCATGGGAAGGTCGTTTGATTTCCAATATCTCTGGGAAAGTACGTCTGAGAACTTTGTGAATACAATATCACACTATACTATTCAAAACGAATGATCCACGTTACAAATCAACTTGACGGGGAAGAATTACTTTATATGAAAATGAATTCTTCTGACAAGGTCTAGACTATACTTAGCCGATTACGATGTCTCGTTGCAAGTTCGTTCGGATTAAGCATTCCGTTGTTCTGATGCCACTTTTCTCTTCAGAGTTTCTCACGGTAATTCTTTGTTTCCCCTCGGACATCGGTTTCTGATGATTGGTTCTAATTGTTTTAAATCGCCTCTTTTCAACATAAATAATGTAGAAACTGTCTTAAGATCAATCAAGAAATTGGGGGACATCCGCTTTATCTCAGCCGGATCTGAGTAGCGATATGAAAATGTGACACGAGGATGACACAGAATGTTGATCAGGTGTTTCTGATTAGCTGTTATTGACAAGAAATAAGCGTTCAATGATTCATTAAGATCTTTGTACCACCATGTATTCCTTACGAGCTATTAATACTTCGAATTACCAAACAGATTTCAAGACTTCTAATGAATGTAAGAACTGTTCGTTTTTCAAAGCATTCTGTATGAATTGCTGCTTTGTGATGCG